ATTTTATTCATATGGATCCAGAAAGATCTAATGCTAATCCTTTTGAATTAATGGAAGCTGTACTGATCTTTCTCCTATGATAGTGAGAAGGGACAGATTACTTTTGATTGGAAAGGGGCATTAGGCAACAGTCTGAGTGAGGGACAGAGCTCTGGATCATCTGATTGGTCCTCCTCCAATGTTAAGTATACCCCTTTTAAGAGAACTAATTATTCAGCTGCCCTTTATTTGGGTTGTGAGTAATGATACCTTAGGTAAGAATCAGAAAGAAATAAATTGTTCTGCTTAGAATTGTTTTTATGCATTATGCTGGGATGCTATTAAGCACCCTTTTGCTTTGGTAATGCGCATGCCTCGATTTATTCCAGCTCCTGTTGAGGCGCCAAGTAATTTGAGTTTGTTTAGGGAAAAGCGAGATTTTTGGGATCTCTGCTATTATTGTGGGCCTGATAGCCACCGCCGCGGTTACTGCTTCGGTTACCGCCTCGGCCCTTGCACTTTCTGCCACTGTGCAGACAACTCAAACCATTAATGAACTATAGGCCACTGTGACCATGGTCCTAGATAAACAGGCCACTGCCAATTCTCAGATACAAGGAGGCCTGATGTTGGTAAACCAACAGATTAATTTGGTTCAGGAACAATTGGATATATTGTGGCAGATGGCCAAATTGGGATGTGAACAAAGTTGCCTGGCCTTTGTGTCACTTAGTACAATATGAGAATTTTACAAGAGCAGCTAACCTGTCAAAAGCTCTGTCTCAACATTTATTACAGAATTGGACTTTTGAGTTTGAGCAGACACTCCGTGAGTTGAGAATGGCGATCCTGCAAGTGAATTCGACGCATCTGGATCTTTCTCTGATGGAAGACCTCTCCCCTGGATTTCATCTGCATTTTCTTATTTTAAGGAATGGGTGGGGGTAGGATCATTTAGCCTAGTTCTCTGCTGTGGAATAGTGTTGATGCTTTGGATGGTGTGTACGCTCAGAGCCCAAACAAAAGGAGAAAGTGGTGGTGGCACAAGCACTTGCTGCCTTAGAACACGGAGCATCCCCTGACATTTGGTTAACCATGTTAAAGCAATAGGTCGCTGGCCTCCCAGCTCTTGCACCCCACGAGGCTAGTCTCATTGCACGGGATAGAGTGGGTAGGCTTCAGCAGCCCAAGGAGTTGCAAGGCTAAGCACTGCACAGGAGAGGTCTGCGGTATAACGACTTTCTCCTGGGAGATAAGTCATCTTGCATGAAGGTTCTATGTCATGATCTCCTTCCCCCAGAAAAAAGACATCGGACTGGTCAGGACTTCCTCTGGGGATAAGACCCTGGAGAGGAGCTTTGTACATGTTCCGAATTTGCACATGGGGATTTGACCTCTATCTCCACTCCAAAGTTGTGGGTGTCCTATTGCTTCAAAAATAAATGAATAGGGGGAGATGTGAGGAGCCGCCCTCGCTATCGCTATTGCCGTTAGAAGATGGCGCTGACATCCACTATCAGTTGGAGTTAACTGTCGCTGTCAGTTATCCCTTTTACATCCCGGACTGACCTGCATTCGCTAGCCCTATGATAACCTTTACCACAACGATAGCAAAGCTTCGATTCTCTTGTTCTTTCAGGGGCTTGACAATCTTTCTTAAGGTGCCCCATTCTCCCACAATTAAAACAAGCTTTTCGATTAGATAAATCTCTATACCTGTGCGTTTGTAAAATGGCGGCAGCTAGTCCTGCATTGGTTAGGGGTCCCCCCAGCTCCCTGCACACTCTGAGCCAATCTTGTAAACCTTTGCTTTTGCGAGGGGCGATAGCCGCTCGACATTCCTGGGTTGCTTGTTCATAGACAAGTTGCTCAATCAGGGGCATAGCTTGTTCTGAATCACCAAAGATGCGACTGGCGGCCTCTGTCATTCTGGCCACAAAGTCTGAAAATGGCTCTTGGGGTCCTTGGACAATCTTTGTAAGGTGTCCACTGGACTCTCCCTTTTGTGAGGGCCTTCCATGCTTTAATAGCGGCGGCCGACACCTGACCATAGACGCCCCAGATGTAGTTGGTTTGATTAAGGGCATGTTGACCCTGACCTGTCAGCATTTCAAATGTCCACTGCCTCTGATTCTCATCTTCAGCCGTGGCATTAACTCTAGCTTGTGCCTGGGCTGCATCATACCAGAGAGCCTTCCATTCCATGTATTGTCCCATGTTGGGAAGCACTGCTTTCACTGTCGTTTGCCAGTCAGTGGGAGTCATGGCAAAATTAGCAAGCCTTTCCACCTGTAATGTGGTAAAGTTAGCATTGACCCCATAATTACGAACGGATTCGGCCAATTCTTTGATTTGATTGTAATCTACGGGGGTATGTACTCTTCCGCCTTCCACATTCTCGAATACTGGAAAAGCCATTTGTATTTTTCTCCGTTCCTCTAAAGGTAAAAAGGAGTCAGTACCAGTATTCAGCCGAAGCTCATACTGGCGGAGGCGCTGAGGGGCGTGAGCCCGCCGGATTTATAGGCGGTGGCCTCACATTCATTTTTGTTTTCAGTGGCCGGTGTCTATCAGGGTGATATCTTTTTCCTCATACCGTGCCACCTCCTCCTCTAGACCACCTTCTTCGCTAGAATCCAGAGTGTCAGAATCAGAATTATCTAGCTCCAAGGCTTCTAGCTCTACTGCAGGGTATAGACTAGATTCTGGCTTTTTCTTTTTCTTAGATTTGTTAAGGGGTGAATGATAACTCCCTTCTTTCTCTCCCCCTTTCTTAACTTCCTGGGGAGGGCCTTTTTTCTTAGACATGTCTTTTCTTTTGCGAGCTCCCATTCTCTCACTCCGTTCAGTTTCTGACATGCTATCCTGAACTTCCTCTAAGGTTCCCTGACTTTCTATTATAGCAGGGTGACAGGCCTCATCCTCCAAGCAGTTTTTAACTAGCTTCCAAATGGCTTTGGTACCTAAGCAGAGATCTCCTTCTGCATGCTTCCTGTCTAGTTCTTTACCTAGCTTGTTCCATGAGGCCACAGTGAGGGACCCGGAACAAGCATACCATGGTGCCACTCTATCTACCTCCTTCACAAAATTTTGAAGTGTTCGTGGTGCAATTTTAAGATCTCTTTGTTTTAGCACAGTCTGTAAGGCTGTAACCACTGACTGTGACGACCCCATCGCGCTGACAGCTTATCTAAAAACGCGCTCAACTCCGTTACCAGACTGACAGCACCAGACTGACAGCACCAGACTGACAGCACCAGACTGACAGCGCCAGATGGACAGCGCCAGATGGACAGCGCCAGATGGACAGCGCCAGACGGACAGCGCCGTTCTGTCAGCACCAGCCACGATGAAGGAGAAGGACAAACAGGACTAGCACCAAAGCCTCCACTGACCCGTCCCACGGTGATGACAAACTAAGGCCAAAGTCGAGAAAAGGGTTGTTCAGGATAAAGCATACCTCTCTGAACCTACGTCCCTGCAGTTCTGAATCCGCCCCGTCTTCCGAGGGGTCTCCCGCGGCGCCGGCGATGTTGAAGAGTTCCCGGGTTTCGGCACCAGATGTCCCGCGCTACCGTCTCGCCAGCAAGAACGACGCAGAACACTCGGATCCTTCTGCAGTAAAGCTTTAATGCATCTTGAGAGATAGATGATCAGCTTCTTAGAGGGAGACCCCAAGCTAAGAAACCCAGCCCCTTATATAAGCCTAGGAGCTCCGAGTGTTCTGCGTCGTTCTTGCTGGCGAGACGGTAGCGCGGGACATCCTTCCTGCATGTACCCGGAACCCTTCCTCCAGCCTGGGGCCGGTGACCAGCACCTTTCCTGGTAGGAGTGGTTGCCCACACATGGGAGCAGCTCAAGGGCCTCCCTCAGTGACCATCCACTTGGGGATTACAGGATGTTAGGGATGGGTTGGAACTCCAGCTTAGACGGTGTCTGGACACAGGCATCCCAAGGCCACATGGCTGGACACTTGAATCCTTGTGCCTGAGGCTCTAGGCCCACCCTTGCGTCCTCTGGGCGCCGTGTCTGGTGTGCTCTGGATCAGAGCACAAAACAGCTGACACTTTCTACCCTGTGCCCAATGTTCTTTAGTGGTTAAACAGATTTTCTACATAGATTTCATCCTCTCTGTCTCTGTCTCTGTCTCTGTCTCTCTGTCTCTCTGTCTCTCTCTCTGTGTGTGTGTGTGTGTGCGTGCACGCATCTGTGGTGTTTTCATGTGGAGCTCTGTGAGCTGCAGGGAGGACCCTACAGATCTTCCTCGCTTCCCCTTCAGTCTGGCCTTTGGGTTGGGCATACGATGGATCCAGGAGTCCCTTACTTCTTTGAGGGAGGCGTCACTGTGCAAACGCTGCACTGGGCCTCTATGAGCAATGCTTTGTGCACCGACCTGGCTCCTGCCTGGCTGCTGGCTTTCTGGGTGTGGCCTGAAAGCAGAATTAACTCGAGCCTCCCTTGGGCTGGCAGAGCCCCGTAATTCCCTCTGATTACTGCTGATTAACAGGATACTGAAAAAAACTTGCAAAAAAGAAAACAACAGACCTCCAGTGAGATGGCTCAGCAGGCAAAGGCACCTGCTCCCAAGCCTCATGGCCTGAGTTCAAATCCTGGCACTACAGATGCACACAAGTAAGTGAACCGTAGCACATCTTAAAGTCAAATACATCGAAACAGAGAGAAACTGGTGCAAATTCTGACCTCAGCCTGACCTCATACACTTCTGCAGGGGAGAGCGAACCCCACCCACCCATATACCACACACACACACACACACACACACACACACACACACACACAAACAGACAACAAACACACATATACACACATGCAAACACACACCCCTGCACCACACACACACACACCAAGAAACACACCACAAACATACACAGATACACACAGGCACACACCTACCACACACACACACACACACACACACACACACACACCCCACAGCATAAAGGCCCACAACCCCTCTCAGCTGACAACCTCTCCCACCCTGATTTTCCAGCCTCACTCACCCAGATCACTCAGGTTTCCTGTGGCTGCTGGTGTCACCAGGATTGGAGATATGCCTGAAGGGAGTGTCTGGTCAGTCACACGCCTGAAGAAACACCGAGTGTGAACTTTGAGGGAGGTTGACCAGGGAATCTCTCTGCCTAATTCCAGCTCACTACAACACAGTGAGCACTGACAGGGCGATTGTAGTAGGAGGAATAGACTCGGAAGAGAGCAATGGTATCATTCACTCATAGTCAAGTTAACAAAAGGGTCACGTGGTTCTCTCTGTAATAAACGGAGCTCCACAGGAAGTGGAGGAGGAAAACACAGGAATCTCACTAGAGTCTAGAAAGAACGATACAATGTTTTACTGTTGTTAAAGAAACTTTAAGTCACTCGGGAATACAGGCCAGCCCCACCCCTACCTCTTGCTGTTTTGGCACCCGGTTTAACCTGATACAAGTCCATCCCTGGCTGGACTTGTATCACTAAGCAGCCAAGGATACACTTGGCTCGTGAGTTTTCTGCCTCCATTACAAGGTCATCCTCTACCACACAAGCAATTTGAGTGCAGTCTGGGCTGCAACAATCTCTAAATAAAGAGATGATGGTGATGATGGTGATGATGAAGCCTCAACAGGTAAAGGTTCTTGCTGCCAAGCATGATGAGCTGGGGTTGATAAACGCCCCCTTATGGTGGAAGGAGAGAAGTGACGGCCTCAAGTGTCTTCTGATGCCCACACGAGCTTACGACACATACGTGAACTGCCCCTCATATGTACACACATGAGTGTGTGTCTGTGTGTGTGTGTGAGAGAGAGAGAGAGAGAGGGAGAGAGAGGGAGGGAGAAGGAGAGAGAGAGAGAGAGAGGGAGAGAGCAAGCATGCACTTGGGACGGGGACACATCGGCATTGGGGTTCCTCACTTGGGATGGGGACACATCAGTATTGGGGTTTCTCACTTGGGACGGGGACACATCAGTATTGGGGTTCCTCACTTGGGACGGGGACACATCAGTATTGGGGTTTCTCACTTGGGACGGGGACACATCAGTATTGGGGTTTCTCACTTGGGACAGGGACACATCAGTATTGGGGTTTCTCACTTGGGACGGGGACACATCAGTATTGGGGTTCCTCACTTGGGACGGGGACACATCAGTATTCGGGGTTTCTCACTTGGGACGGGGACACATCAGTATTGGGGTTTCTCACTTGGGACGGGGACACATCAGTATTGGGGTTTCTCACTTGGACGGGGACACATCAGTATTGGGGTTTCGTGCTTGGGACGGGGACACATCAGTATTGGGGTTCCTCACTTGGGACGGGGACACATCAGTATTGGGGTTTTTCACTTGGGACGGGGACATATCAATCAGTATTGGGGTTTTTCACTTGGACGGGGACACATCAGTATTGGGGTTTCGCACTTGGGACGGGGACACATCAGTATTGGGGTTTCTCACCCAGCCAGCAGGTCTTCATCACGCGGTGTGGTCACCTTCAGGTAACTCCCACTCGAGTGACCTACTAAAGCGTTGCAGGGCAGAGCAGAGGGCTGAGCACAGAACCAGACCTCCCCGGAGACCACGTCTCTGTACCGGCAGGTGGGCCCCTTGGCTCCAGTTGACTGAGGGTCCACGTTGCAGATAACAGTCTCTCGAGTGCCGTCCCTTCCTCGGAAATACCCTCTGAAGTCAACGGTGGCCCGTCTTTCTCTCCAGACCCTCTGCAGGACCCCGACTGCCTCACTCGAGTGGATCAGCCTCACCTGCACCTGGGCCCACCCGGCCCAGAGCAGGGGAAGGACAGGAGGTAGGTGCCGTTCTCCAGATCCGTCACCTCCCTGGGACTCCTGCTCTCAACTCTGGGCCCAGGAGCTTCGCCCGAAACAGGTCTCCACCATGAGTCTTGGGCCTACCCTGGTGATCCCTAGCCACAAGGATGGCCTCTAGGTTACTTCCCAGAGTATAGCTGGCCTGAGCAGGACCCTTCAAGGTGTACGTGGAGGTTTGGGGGCTGGTAGACGCCAAAAAGTCATCCCTGTCTCCACCAGTTGGAGGCCAGTAAAGAAGGCTGGTCAGGTTGGTCAGTTCTTGAGGGAGAAGGTCCCAGTCGATGGTCTCAGAGACACATTTAGAGGCAGGATGGGGTGGTGGGAGCCAACTCTTGATGGGCTTAGGCCAAGCCATCATGAGACAGATCACCTGTGAATAAAGAAAGAGGAATGTGCCAGTGTGTTGTGGGCACCATATTTTCTTCCCGGAAGGAGGTATTCCACTTGATCAAGTAGCATCTGTTGATCCTACCTGTGTATGTCATTCTGTCTGTCATTCACAAGTCTTGCATTGAGTCACCATGACCTCTATTTGAAACAACCAGACACTGAGCTGATAATGTCACTAGAACTTCTGGGACATCCCACTGGAGTTGTTAATGGTTATAACAAAATGGGGATCCCTGATGTGGTTCTCTTCTTTTTAAAGATGTATGTGTAGGAGTGTTTTGCTTGCATGCATATATTGCTCCATGTCCATGCCTGGTACCCAACGACAACAGAAGAAAACTTGGGATCTCCTGCAAATGGTTGTCAGCTGTCATGTGGGGGTAGGAACCAGAACCAGTAATCTGTAAGAGTAGCAGTGTTCTTAACCACTGAACCATTTCTCTAGCTTCAAGTGGTTAGTTTTTTTAATACTGTGTGTGTACACATGTTGACCCGCTCATGGATTTGCACACTATGTCCTGCACGTGAAGGTCAGAGGACAATTTGTAGGGTCATATCTCTCCTTTCACCATTCCCAGGGTATCAAATTCAGGTCATCAGATTTGACAACTAGCCCTCTTACCTGCTGAGCCATATTGCTGGTCCCAATGTTGACATTATCTGATATGCTGGAGACTAGCACCATTGATGCTTACAGACACTGTGGACCCAAGAACTGAGAACCTCATTGTGTACATTGCTAGATAGATCACAGGTTTTAAGGTAGGTAGGACTAAGAAAATGGGGCTAAGGTGGGCCAATAAATGGATTGTGTGAAAGTTTACCTAAACAGCATTTTCATGGAGATGGAAAGTACATACTATAAGTATATAGATACCAATAAAATTGACCTATACATTCAATACTATGAGGATCAAAATCCTAATATCTTGTATGTGTGTTTATAAATTATAGGGTGATTATGACATTTCCAAGCATGGGACAAAGCCAGGTAGAGCATGTGTGTTGTCCCAGCACTTGGGAGGCCAGGACAGAAAGATCTGTGGTTTCAGGTCATTCTTGGCTAATGGGCAGCCTTTGTGCAGGAGTGGAGGAACACACCTAGATGTATGAAGTTCTGAGTGGGTGTGTGCTGTTGTCACGGCACAGCCATGTCAAAGACCCCAATGTCTCAGACACATGGGAATCTGGCAAAGCCTTCCCCATGCTAGGTTCAGGGAAATGGCATAGCCTTCCCTCTTGGTCTGAGTCTGGATGTACATAGTGTGTTTCCACCATAGTTGCCTCCCCTAAGATGTTTGATGCCTGAAGTCTGCTCCCCAACAGAGACACCTGCGCCCAAGACTAGCTCACCCTGCTTCCTTGTTGACCTGTCTACCATTAACACACCACGTTGTCCAACTGTGAGCATCAACCCAGCCTGCTGAGTTCTCTGCCTGCTGCAGCTTCTCCACCAGAGAGCCCAGCATCCTGCGTGTCCATGTGTTTATCCTGTACTCGTTCCTCCCAACCTAGTCATGCTCGTCCCCGAGAGTGCATGGATAGATACGAAAATCCTGGGAAACAGGAGACCCTGTCACAAACACAAACAGACAAACATGAAATAGGGCCATCCCGGGGCTCAGAGGCTAAAGTGCTTGCAGTGTAACCCTGATGATCTGAGTTCCACAACCCATGGTGGCAGGAGAGAATTACCTCCCAAGTCCTTCTGGTGTACTCTTCAGCACCACAATACCAACCCCACCACACACCATCTTCCCTAAACCATCCCTTACACCATTTCTCGCCACACACCATCTTCCTTCCATACCATCTCCTCTGCCACACACCATCTTGTAGGTGGAGTTTCTCATCAGGACCCGGATCAACTCTGTTCTGCCAGCCACTTCCCAAATAACTACCCAGAGACTTATTATTAATATAACTTGGTTTGTAGCTCAGGCTTATTACTAACTAGCTCTTACAGCTTAAATGAACCCACTTCTATTAGTGTGGTGCCCTAAGGCTTGTGGATTTTACTTCTCCTGCATGTCCTGCTTCCTTTCTGTCTGGCTGATGACAACTCTGACTCCGTCCTTCTTCTTCCCAGCATTCTTTCTGTCCAAAAATCCATGCCTAGCCACCAGCCAATCAGATTTTATTAACAATGAGAGCAATACATATTTACACTGTACTAAGATTGTTCCACAACACCATCTTCCCCCCCACATTACTCTCCCACACCATTCTCACACACATACCACCCCCACAAAAACCAGCCCCCATTAAACCAATCCCTACCACACATCATCCCCCCAACACCATCCCCCCCACACAGTCTCTCCTACCACAATCATCCCCTAACACACCATCTCACACACACCATACCTCCTACACCATTCACCCCACACCACCCTCCCCACATCATCCCACACCCATACCTCTTCTCATACACCATCCCCCACACCATCCTACACACACACACACACACACACACACACACACACAGATAACTTTTATAACTTGATAATGATAATGTAGGCAATTTAGCCCAATCAAAAATGAGCAGAGAGGCCAGAGAGATGGTATAGGTTAAGAGTGATGCCCTTGGCAAGTGCCTGGGGACTGCCTGGGGACTGCCACTGAGCCTTCCACCCCAGATTCCTGGTCTTCTTCTCCACCCATGGGCCCGGATCAGGACTAGGACCAGGAAGAGAAGAACTACCAGAGTATTGGACTTGCTTGCACCCACTGAAAGGGAACGCTGGTCCCCTAGCCACCAAGCCAGGAAGAGGACCTTTCTGCACCAGCTAGAAGAAGGGATGGGAAGGAGACAATACAAAAACACACTCAGCAACAGAAAAACAAATATGACGCCACCAGATTCTATAGACTCTACACCAGCAAGACTCAAACATCCCAATGCAAACGATGCAGAAGAGAACAGCCTTAAAAATAACTTCATGAAAATGATAGAGGCCCTCAAAGGGGATATGGGAAAATCTCTTAAAAATGGAAGAAAAAACAAACCAAAAATCCAAAAAATGCAATAAATGGAGGAAAAGACAAAGCAAAAATTGCAAGAAACAATTCAAACAGTGCAAGGGTTGCAAACTGAAATAGAGACAATAAAAAAAAACCACAGTCTGAAAGAGGCTGGAGATCGAAAAGCTGGGCAAATGGTCAGGTACTACAGATGCAAGCATAGCCAACAGAATACAAGAGATGGAAGAGAGAATCTCAGGTGTTGAAGATACACTAGGAGAAATAGATTCATCGACCAAAGAAAATCTTAAGTCCAACAAATCTCTAACACAAAATATCCAGGAAATATGGGACACAGTGAAAAGACCAAACCTAAGAATAATAGGTATAGAAGAAGGTGAAGAAAACCACCTCAAAGGGGCAGAAAACATATTCAACAAAATTATAGAAGAAAACTTTTCCAACCTAAAGAAAGACATGCAATGAAAGTACAAGAAGCCTACAGAACACCAAATAGAGTGGACTACAACAAAAAGTTCTCTCACCACATAATAATCAAGACTCCTAACACATAGAATAAAGAAAGAATATTAAGAGCAGCTAAGTAAAAAGGTCAAGTAACATATAAAGGCAAACCTATCAGAATTACACCTGACTTCTCCATGGAAACTCTGAAATCCAGAAGGTCCTGGATAGATATTCTATCAACACTGAGAGACCACGGATGCCAGCCCAGACTATTATACCCAGCAAAGCTTTCAATCACTATAGATGGAGAAAACAAGATATTCCATGACAAAACCAGATTCAAACAATACATATCCACTAACCCAGACTTACAGAAAGTTCTGGAAGGAAAACTCCAACCCAAGGAAGTCAATTACAGCCAGAAAAACATAGACAATAGATATTCCCACCTCACCAACAGACAAAAGAAAAAAAGGGGTGGAAATCCACATATAATTCCATTACCAGCAACCATTCCAAAACAAGCAAGAATGAGCAATCAATGGTCATTAATATCCCTCAATATTAATGTTCTTAACTCTCCCATAAAAGGACACAGGCTAACAGAATGAATTTGAAGACAGAACCCATCCTTCTGCTGCATATAAGAAACACACCTAAGGCTCAAAGACAGACATCACCTCAGAGTTAAGGGTTGGAAAAAGATTTTCCAATCAAATTGACCCAAGAAACAAGTGGGGGTAGCAATCCTAATACCAAACAAATTAGATTTTAAAATAAAATCAATCAAAAGAGATGAAGTAGGTCATTACATACTCATTACAGGAGAAATACACCAAGATGAAGTTTCAATTCTGAACATCTATGCCCCAAATACAAAGGCATCCATGTTCATAAAAGAAGCATTACTAAAACTCAAATGACATATAAAGTCCCATACACTTATAGTGGGAGACTTCAACACCCCACTCTCACCCCTAGACAGGAATACCAGACAGAAACTCAACACAGAAACAAAGGAACTAATAGAAGATATGACCCAATTGGGATTAACAGACATCTATAGAACATTCCATCTAAATACAAAAGAGTATACCTTCTTCTCAGCGCCACATGGGACTTTCTCAAAAATCAAGCACATACTTGGCAACATATCAAACCTCAACAGGTACAAAAAATTGGAATAACTCCATGCATCTTATCAGACCACCATTAAAATAAGAATTTAACAACAACACAAATTACAGAAACCCTACAAACTGATGGAAATTGAATAATGCAAAATTGAACCATTCCTGTGTCAAAGAAATAAAAAAATTAAAGACTCCCGAGAATCCAATGAGAATGAAGACACAACATACCCAAACCTATGGGACACTTTGAAAGCAGTGCTACGGGGGGAAGTTCATAGCACTAAGTGCCCACATGAAGAAACTGGAGAACAGTTATACCAGAGAATTAACATCACAGCTGAGAGCTCTAGAACACAAAGGAGCAAATACACCCAGAAGGAGTAGATGCCAGGAAATAATCAAATTGAGGCCTGAA